CTTCCCCTGCACCATTCCCCTCCTCCACCATGTTTCTCCTCTCCCATTAGAATGGAAGTGCCTCGGGGACTGTCTTTCACAGTGCCCTCATACAGTAAGCACTTAATAAATGCATGTTGCTTGCCTCCTTGAGCATTGAGGAGGTTGGGGAACTGTGAGATGAGGGTGTCTGAGATATCACTACACATGCTGAGGTCCCCTGGTATGAGGGTACAGGATGGGAAGGAAAGAAAGCCGTGACGAGGCACCAAGCCCACTGAGGAAGGATGGGCCAGGGATCTGGAAATGTGGTCACCAGGATCCGGGTTGAGTGACAAGTCTGGAGACAGCAAATCCCAAATTTGGTGAAGATGGTAGAGGGAGAGCCCGGAAATGGCAATGAGGAGCGAGGAGCGTTCCGGCTCTTCCTCATGACCGGCAAGTCTGGCCAGGGAAGCCCCATGGTTGGCAGGGAGCCAGAAGGTGGAAGGAGTGAGAAGGAGGTCTTTGGAGATCCAGGGGAGCCTTGGGAAGCAAGGGACAGTAAAGCAGAGAGAGGGGGCCATGGGCAATGGTTGGCTCCGTGGTGGTCGTTACAATCAGGGAGCACAGGATAATTGGGGGGTTTGGGCTTGACCTAATGAGGCGCCCCAGCTGTGGAAGAGAGGGAGGGATGAGCCTTGGTGTGGGAGCTGAGGGCAAGGAAGGAAGCAGAAGGAGCCTGGGGCTTGGTGCCTGCAGGTGGTGGGACCCTCAGCATCAGGAAAGTGGGTGGGCTGGGGATGAATAGGCTGAGTTTAGGGCTGGACACACTGGCTTTCAGGGACTGGAAGAATCTCTCAGCGAAGTTCTGACGGAGGTAAGGGGTGTCATTCTCTGAAGAAAGGCTGACTCGGTCTACCAACGGTAAGCCTGCTAGGTTGAAGTGGTTCTGGACGTCCCCCCAACCCCGTGCCCCCATCCTCATGGGTTCTCCTTGGGTCCACTACCGAGTTCTTCAGTCGAGAGCAGGCAAAGAGTGGGTTCTGCCATTTTTTGGGTTCTCATGGGCAGTGTCATCGAGGTCTTCAGCAGGGTGAGCTCAAAGGACGGGCCAAGGAAGAGGGCACAGGGAGAAACGTGTGGGGAAAGGTCTCCTCCCTCCTGCCCACTCTCCCCTCTTAGACATCCTGCAAAGGCCGTCAGAGGTAAGTTCCCAGAGTGTGGACCTGAATGTCAGGTCATGCAGAACGTCCCTCAAGAGCCCCCGGGGCTCCCTGGTCCAACCCTCTTCATCCATCAGGCTTTCGACATCTCCCACCATCTGGACCTGGGGCTCCTTGTGGACCATCCCCTGAAGAGTTCCCTGCCTCCACTGCTGCCCTCCATCCATCCTGTCTGCCCACGAGTCCTGCCTCTCACCAGGCCTTCACTCCAATGCTGTCAATGGCTTTCTACTGTCTAGTGTTCAGGGTCCTTCACCAGAAGGCCCCAGGGCTCCTGCAGGGCCTTCGGCTCTCTTCCTCTGCCAGCCCCTGTGCTCCTCCTGGTCCTTCTGAGGAGCTCTGCCCTCCAGCGGGGCCCTTCTCCTTCCTGTCCCTGCCTCCCAGGCTAGAGCCACCAAGAACCGCCATTTTCTTTCTTTCAGACTGGCCTTGGCTCTGTCCTTCACCCCCTCAGGCCTAAAATGGCATCCCTGGTTCTCCCCATTGCCCTGTCTTCCAAGGCTTACCTCCTCTCCCTGTCTGACTTGGTGCCCCCCCACCCCGTTTCTCACTTCTCTGCCGAACCCACTATTCAGACCCTGTTGCACTCTGTCCCATCCTATCTTGTCCTAAGTATCATTGGAACCACTCTCTGTCTCCCAGTCTCCTCTCCAGCATCTTCAGGATTCATGGAGAGCTGAGCCTATCAGCCATGGGGTTCCCTCCTCATCTTTCTCATGTGATCTTAGTCCTTTTCCAGGTGGATTTTCAGAGTACCAGAGTGTTAATCCAGGGAGAATAAAGCAGGCATTTCAGATTCTGTGGTGGAAAGGCATCCCTAGCCTAGAAGCTGGTTGAATTGAGCTGTCCACAAAGAACCAAGGGATGGCTGCAAGCACCTGTCAAGGCCCCCTTATTTCAGGCATTCTTCTCCCCACTCCCACATACTTCCAGCCCAAAACAAGGCTGGGAGCACTTGGTAGAAATGAATCTGTCTTTCAGCAAGAGCACAGTGGGGTGCCCCTCCCCACTGAGGAGATTGGATTCCTGCTTTAAGCAAGGGGATCAGGGTGGGGAGGTCATCCTGTCCTCAGAGAAGGTGCCAGACCCCTGGTGCATCCAAAGAGTGCTCTTCTCCTCTCCCTCCCCATCAACCTCACCGTTTCCCTCTCCACCCCCTCCCTGTAAGGATCCCAGGAGGACAAAGGAGAGCCAGAGACAGAAGGCGAGAATAACTGGTTGCTTTATTGATAATGCAAGTTATAATATCTGCAAAACTTGAGAAGAGAGAGTTTTGCATATTAATTAAGCTGAGCCTACATAAATGAATCCATCAGCCTGGATACAATATCTCCCCCCATCCCCTGTTGTACAAAACAGAAGCCAATAACAAGTATTGAACCCCCAGGTTTAACGGTCTTTGAGTGATGACAAAGCCAGGAGAGGAAAGGACTTCTCCTGTTGGGTCATCCAGAAGCATCTGGGGAAACCCACCAAAGACCAGGATGGAGATGAAGGGATCAGACAGGATGGTTCTGTCAATGGGATCCAGGGGTGTCAGGACCGTGGAGAGCGCCGTGGTCTTGGCATGGCCCTGGGCGGGGTGACGCCACTGAGAAAAAGCTTCTCTGGTCAGCACCTGGTAGCTGATGTTGGCGGAGGGCGGCTAACCCCCTGGTGCGCAACTGCCCAGGTGGGAGATGGGGCAGCCTCAAGGATGACAGATGATGCCAGGAATCAGTAGCTTCTGCCCTGGGCTCTGCTCACATGGAAGAATAGCCCAAGGACAGAGTTTCTGAATCGCTTTTGTTCAAAATTGTCTTGGCTTTTGGAAGCCAGTTGGTGTCCCAATTCTAATTTCACCGAGGTTGTTGCTACCTCAGTAGTTTTTTTAAATGTGTTTTCTTAGGGTTTTAGAAGCCAATTCATAATCCAGTGATGTCCAATTGAAGCTCAAATGTTCCAAATTTTGATAACATGGTTGCTGCCTCAGCAAAGAGATGGTTTTGGTTGTTATTTTAACTAGGTTCAGAAGAAGCCAATTGGTGCCCAATTAATGGCCAAATGTTGCTAAGACATTTGATTAGATAAAATTTGGTTTTAATAAGTATGTTACTGATCAATTTATATTACTCTTCACCATTCCCATTATTGAGGCTTTTAAAAAATGTGTCTGCCATCTATTTGGGGGTTAGCAGGAGTCCCCGAAGGGCTCTATCTCCAAGGAACCTACAGGGTTGGTTATTTTGGGTCTCTGCCGGTTGAAGGCAGTTTCTGGTAGAGTGGCTGAACCGAAAGCCAAGGTGGGTCGGGAAACCTTTCGGTCCAGTCACCCTCCTATCGACCTTGGAGCTGGCGGCCTGGCCACTCGTCCCTTAGACACATGTGTCCAAAGAAACCTGCTGACTAACCATGAAATTCTCTGTGAGATCTCTGCGGTGTGACCAGCTCTCAGACGTGATCTCTCCCACCAAATTTCCCCAAGAGACTGGAACAGTCTCTCTGGGTTGGAATGGGGGGAGGTTGGGGAGTGAGTTTGGGTGGGGAACTAGAAGGAAAGAACTGTCTCCCCAAAGCCTTGAGAATGGACATGAAAGGAGGACCACTTTTCTCCTTGACAGAATGGTAACCTTCCTGCCTGCAGCCCCCCAACCCTTCTGGCATGCAGGCTGAGTGATGAAGTCAACCGACACCCACTGGGAAGTGGCCTTCAGCAGGCACCCAGGAGCTTAGCTCTGCCCCTCAGTTCCTGACCATTCCAAGGGTAGGGTCCCCCAACTCGCATTGTCTGCCCCCTCCCCCTTGCAAACAGGATAGTAACAATATTCCACAAAGTCACACAGAGATCAATATGGCACCCCACTCTCACTCTCAGCCCAGAGTGCTGGAGAAAGCAACAAAGGAAAAGAAAAGGAAAAGAAGAAAGGATTCCCAGCAGGACTCTGGGGGCCCCTGCTCCACGAGAAGCAGGCAATGGAGGAGGCCTGGGCTGTCGTTCTATGAGACACCCCTTCCTGGTATCTTCGAGGGAGGCATGCCCCCCTCCAGGACTGGCTCTCAGCTTAATTAAGGTTAATAAGGAAAAAAAAAGGATTATATGCAAATATATGAGGAGGCAGCAAGAGTGATACTCTGGAAGAGGCCAGGTGACACTTTCATGCCCTTCACTTGAGATGGCACTGAGTATCTTTGGGGCTTTTTCTAAGCCTCCCCTTTTTTTGGGGCTTTTTTATCGTTTTAATATTTTTTAACATTTATTTTTATTTTTATTATTTTTTTGGTTCAAAGCAAAAACTATCCAAGCTGTTCGGTGCTTGCCTTAAAGCAAAACTACGTTGCCTTAAAAAAAAAAAAAAAGAGAGAGAAAGAAGGAAAAAATACCCCAGTGAGAAAAAAAGTTGATATAAATTTGAGAATTTGCTCTCCTGGGTTTTAGACCTGCAATCTGCAATTCATTCATGACTCTCTCTGATTTCCCACTCTTCCAAAAAAAAAAAAAAAGAGAGACATTTCCCCCCCTCCCCCAGCACCCCCACTCTCTCCCTCCCCCTGCTTCATCCCTGTTCCACTCCTGCTCCCCGGCCCTGGCTTTCTGAGCGGGGAGCTGTCTTTGGAGAGGAGCTGGAAGGGGACCTGGATGAAGCTGCTGGTGGCTGCAGGGCCTGCCTGGAGGGGCCGGGGTCCTCTCCTCCCCCACCACGGCTTTGGACCAATCTCATTCCTCCATGCTTGTGTATCCCTCCATTACAAAATAAATAAAAGGAGCTGATCTTCCCCCAGGTTTTTGGTTGTACGTGTTTGTAGAATGCCTCTCGGAGTGCCGTTCTGTTCAGGGCATGTATTGGCTCAATGGTGCATGGTTACTGAGAAATGGATAGAAGAGGGTCCTGGAGCTGAGGGGGGCCATCAGCACCCCCTCGGACTGCGGCAGATGAGGGCAGGAAGGCGGTCAGTCAGCTGTCTAGCTATTTGGAGGTTGGATTTGGAAGCCCAGGCGAGGGGCAGGGTTCTGGTTCTCACCCTGACCTGCCCTCCCCGCAGGAGGAGGGCTGGTCAGAGCGCACCCCCAGGAGGTAATGCCTCCTCAGGCTGGGCCTGCTGGACAGGGAGGCCGAATGGTCCAAATCAAAATGCTGGAGCCTCTTGCCACCCCCAGCTCTGGCTTTTGTGGTCGCCCCAAGAGGAGGAATCCCACCCTCAAGAAAACGAGGCTCAAAAGCAGGATTCCTCCCTCCTCCCCACCCTCAGCCTGACCGTGCCCACAACCTTTCGAGAAGGGGCAGGGCCAGGGGAGAAATGGGGGGAGGGGACTAGAGGCGCTGGGGGGTGGGGGCGGGGAGGGGACAAAAAATGGAGGCCAAGGGACTGATTTTTGTAGGTAAAGAATGATACAGAGCGGCACTGGAGAAAGCTATAGAAAAAAAAGCTACCTGCTGTGTGAGAGAAGGGGGTTGGCAGGATCTCTGAGGGGGAAGGCAGAAGTCTGAGAGGATGAGCCATCTTCCAGGGAAGCCCAAGAATGCCTGGTGATCCTGGATCTGGAGGGCACATGTTTGGGGTATCTGCCAGAGTCTGGTAACCCTTCATGGAGATGTGCGAGTGTGTGCATGGGCGAGTGTGTGCTCAGAAGTGTAAGTCAGGTGTGAGGGCACATGCTAGGCACATGCATGTATGTGAGTGAATGTGTGTGTGTGTGTGTGTGTGTGTGTGTGTGTGTGTGTGCTCGAGTCTATGTGATGAGGAAAGTGGGGAAGAGTTCACCAAACCGTGTGCCTCGGAAGCAGGAAGAAAGAATCGCATTCTCCTACTTTTCTCCAAAGGAAAAGCCGGCTGCCCAGGTGTGTCAGGATTTGCCCTCTCACCGTTCCCTAATGAGGTGTTCCTTCCCCTTCTGTCCCGGCCAACTCACTTTAGCACCATAAACACACTGATGTAGGAGCACTGGGGTCCCCCGGCTGACGCCACACAAAAGAGGGATCGGCCAGATGGAGCTCTTTTGCCGAAAGATGACACAGGGTCTAGGCCTGGGCTAGACCAAGGTGAGCCTTGGCAAAGGCAGCTGGACGCCCTTGCCGAGGGCACAGGGACCCCGGCCCGTCTGCTCTGCTCTCTAGCTCAGCCTCCTCTCTGCCTCTCTCTCACTTGTGGATGCTCAAAAGATGCAAGTAGGCACGGAATATTGTAGCTTGGCAGAAAAGTGAGTGGACCAGAAACCTGAAAATGGACTGTCAGCCTGGGGATTCCTCCTCAGGGATGGTAGATGGTGGGAAAGGAGCAGAGAGCATGAGGTTGGTTCAAAAAAATGGGTGGTTTGGGGGTTGAGTTTTAGAATGTGCCAATGAAGAGAATCCCCAGTGAGTGATAGTGGGTAGGGAGGCATCACATCTATAGGGGAGGCTCGGGTGCCCCTGCCCTGGCTGAGCTCCCAGTGGAATGGGCACTGGATCTCCCCTCCAGGGTGCAGCACCCCACAGCCTCTCTTGGTGGCTAGGCCCTCTCCTGCTGCTGCTGTAGAAGTCCACAGTCCAAGGCCAATCTGACTGGGGAGCGTGGGAGGAGAGGAGAAGCTGAGCCCACGGGGACTTTGGGTGTTTGGGCTCTTTGAAAAATCCCATAGACATGATAGCGGCCAAGGCCAAGACCCCGGAAGGCATGGCGGCCCGCACTGTTGGTGCCAGCGTGATGGCCGGATGCTGCCTGGAGATGACCAGGGAGGCAGCTACTCAAAGCCCCTTGGCTTCAAGGAGTGGGAGGAGAGGGGATGAAGTGGTGTGGGGGGTGTGGAAGAAAGACATTTGGAAGAAGAGGCCAAATTTGTTGAGAGAAAAGGAGAGAGAGTTTAGATGAAGAGGAATCCGATCCCAGGGGCAGACAGGCAGGTACCCAGGTTACTTCTGATTGGCAGGTTTTTCGGATGAGGCATCAGTGCGGATGGGGTCTTCGCTGGGCAGGGTGATCAGGGGACGGTGACGCTTGGCCTCTCTGATCGCCTCCAGCGCCTGGGCTCTCAGCCGGTCCCTGCGGGCACGGAGGAGGGCAGGCAGGCCCCTCCTGAGGCGACGGGCTGACTTCTGCCAGGTGTCAAGTCTGAAGAACTTACCCACAGGGAATCTAGGGAAGTTTTCCTGAGGGCGAGAGGGGTAGGAGGAAGGAAGAGAGCAGAATTCAGGTAAAGGGCGAGAAGAGCAATGTGATGATGCAGGTGGGTAACAGGCCCAGAGCAGAGACAAGCTAGAGTGGTCTGATCAGAATCAGTGAGTCTTCCCGGGAAAGCGGTGAGCAGCCAGCCTTGGGAGCCACTGAGGATGGGGGCAAGAAGGAGAGGCCTTGGACAGCAGTCGGGACCTCGGGCAGAACTCAGAGAAATGCTCGGAGCTGAATCTGAGCTGGGGGCTCTCAAGGCCAAAGCTAAGCCACAAAGATCCCCAGGGGGCCCTCCACCTGGTCCCCTCTGCCGGGGGCTGAGGTAGTGCCCGCATTGCCTTCCCAGTGTCAGCCAGCTCCCCAGGGCTTGTGAGAGCAAGCAGAGGCCAGAGATAGGAACTGTCAGGGACAAAGCTGACTCTGCAGGCCTGGCCTGCCTGGCCGCTCCCCCTCTGCTCATGGAAACACCTCTGAGCAGAGGGAGAAACCCAGAGACAATGAACAAATCCACTCATTCTTCTTCCCTGCCCATTAGTGGACAGAGCTGGTAATCTGCCCACTCCTATTAGCCAACTTCTTCACCTCCCTCTGGGCCGGGGATGAGGGAGGCCCTGCAGAGGCTGGATTTCTCCCATCTGGCCATGACCGACAAGGCACCTTTGGGGCCCTCTCACCGCCCACCACCCACCATTCACATCTCTCAGCTCATTCTTGTTCTCAGAACCATCCCCAACGGCAAGGCAGGCAGCCTCTCCTGTCTCCATTTTGTGAAAGAAGAAAGTAAGGTTCAAAGGGAGAATGTGGCTGGCAAAAGTCGCACCGTGAGTCCCCGGGAGAGTGGGGAATGGAACCCAGTGGCCTCCCTGGGCACGGCGTGGCCTTGGACCACATCCAAATGCCATTGCTGATGGCATGGCAAAGCTAAAGAAAGTGGCTGGTTCTGGTTCTGAGGCGCAAGCCTGAGGCAAGGGCAGACTGCTGTGAGCGCAGGAAGGCAGGGGGTCCCCAGAAAGGCCCCTGGGCTGGCGCCCTCCTCTGCCCCCCTTCTCGGTCTGAGGGCCTTGGGGAAGGCCAGGGCTTCTGAGGAGGGCCCTGTTCTGCCTCATCTCTCATCTGGCTTGGCCCCAGGGCTGGGGGTCTGCGGGCACTGACCGGGAGGGCCATCATAGAGGCTGACAGGTCTCGCTCGGACTTGGCGGGGGTGGCACAGTAGGTCTCCAGCAGAGCCAGATCGCAGCTGCGGAAGCAGCATTCTTCCACGATGCCGCGGTTCAGGCGGCGGCTCACGCGGCTCAGGGGCCTGCCAGGAAGGCCTGGAGGAAAGAAGAGAGAGCCCTTCAGCCCCGGCTGCATCTCAGGGTGGGCAGATGAGCACTCCCAGGCGGGAGTCCAACCCACGAGGGAAAGAGGCCAGGCTGTGGCCCTGGCCGTGCCTGCAATCAGGGACAGAGCCCGAGGTGCTCCTGCCAGCCGACGTGCCCCACATCCCCGTGGCCCTGCCTGCGGTCAACGGCTGAGGCCTACTGTGTGCACAGCTCTGGGCCAAGCGCTGGGGAGGCCACGGGAGGAGGAGGAGGAGCCCTGGCCAGACGAGGGGAAGTCCGTGTCCAGGACACAAAGGTTCAGGAGGATCTGCCCGACACAGGGCTCTGCTGTCACCAGGCATTCTGAGACAGGCAGGGGCAGCTGGGCCTGCCGCCCTGCCCATTTTACAGTGAAAGAAAGTGAGCCTCCAGCTGACGCCATCAGGGCTTCCTTGAAGCTAAAGGAGCTATGTTATGCCCATTAAACAGATGACTTCCAGTGACTTGCTCAGGGTCACACAGGGAATAAGGGCAGAAGGACAAGTAAAGATTCCAGAGCACCAGAATCCGACCCAAGCCTAACTCCTCAGGAAGGAAGGCTCAAGAGACCTTAAGGGTAGAGCCCCTCGCCCCAATTGAACAAAAGGGAAACTGAGGCCCAGAGAGGGAAGGCAATCTTAGAGACTGAGTCCCAGAAGCTCAGGCTTGCTCCAGGTCAGCTCGGGAACAAGAAGCAGAAGCCTCATTGACACAGTCCCCTCGGCATGGCTCAGAAGCAGGCTATAGGGGTGTTTGGGAAGCCCCCGGGCAGCGTCAGAAAATCCCTAATGGACCTGGCAGTACTGGCTCGCAGAAGCAGGGCAGCTCAGCTGCGACTGCCGTGTTAAAGAGACTGTGTCCCAGATCCTTCGGGCAGCCGGATGGAGGCTGGAGTTCTCCCTAGTGGGGCCACAGACGGGACGCCCCAGCTCTCCACCTCACCAACCCCACTGCCCTGCCTGTGGACCGCACCTGGGCTCTGGCTGGCCCTACCGCCTGGCCTGGGAGAGGCACCTATGGGGTGTTGCAAAAGAGGGCGAGGAAGAAGACGGGAGGGGAGGAGTGAGTCGCCTTAAACAATCCCCAATCCATCTCTCCCCCCATCCTCTCCCTCACCCCCATTGTTCCAGGGGGGCTAAGCTACAGTGAGGCTTCTCATCTCCCTACACCCAGACTAGTGAGGATCCTTCCTCTCCCACCCAGCCTCCACTGTCTGAAACTCAGCCAAGTTTCCCCCCACTGAAGAAGTGTGGATCTGGGAAGTGCCCCCAGGCAGTGTGCTGAGGCCAGGCAGAGCTGTGGGCATGAGAAGAAGGTCACAGAGACACAGAACTCCGCTCCTCTTTTCACTGCAGACACTGACCAGCTCCTGCCTTTCTCACCAGCAGGAGGGAGGGGAAGGAAGGGGAGAGAGGGGAGGAAGAGGCGGGCTGGGGGAAGCCTTGGACTCTTCATCCCGCAATAGCGAGCCTGGCCCAGTGCTGTGCACACAGCAGGCGCTAAGTCACTCGATCCAACCCCGCAGCCTTTATTAAGCGTCAACTGTGTGCAGAGCACTGTGCTAAGCACTGGGGGAGACACTCAGAGAATAACAAGAAAGGACTGACAAGGAAAGACAGGCAGGGGATGCAGAGGAGGCCGGTGGGGGGGATGGAGAGATGGGGAGATGGGGAGTGGAGGGAGGGTGGGGGGTAGCCCTGCCTGACCGAGGTCCCTTACGGAGGAAGGCTAGCTCACTGGGGCTGAGTCCCGTGCTGCTCCCACTTGGGCGATTGCACACCCTCACGCGCACACTCACGCGCACACCCTCACGCACACCCTCACGCGCACACACTCACGCGCGCACACTCACACGCACACACTCACGCGCACACACTCACGCGCGCGCGCACACGCCCCTTAAGCAATCAAGCAGGCAGCAGCAGCATCAAACAAGCCCTTGACTATCACCAGCCTTTCTCCCCCGCATGAGCCAAGACTGTGCCGCCAGTCTCAACCACAGGCCCTCCTTTGTGATCCGGGCTCCTGCCTTTGCCATCCTGAGACTGAGCCCAGGAGCCTTGTTCTGCTCCCTTAGTGCCCACCCCCCAAAATGCCTGGCTCCTTTCACCCAGTATCGTTGTGTGCAGCCGCAGAAGCCAAGAATGTGCCCCGTCAGCACCCAGAGAGGGGAGCTCAATTCTTATCAGCTGTTGGAAGGAGGAACCAGGAGCCGTTTAGAAAGCAGGCTGAGCTCCGCTCCCCAGCCCACCCCCTTGCTGTGGCGGCGGCAGCGGCGTGCTGACTCCCTTCCCTTGACTGCAGCGTGTTGCCTCCTTCCCATCTTCAGAGCCCCGGCTGGTCTTTCTCTCTAGGGCTTCCTCTCCCAACCCCCCTCCGCATAGCAGGCTGGGCTCTGGAGAGGCTTGGCAAGAAGGGTGGGCATAGATGGCTTCTGTCTTTGGGGAGGCTTCCTGCATCTTGCAGGAGCCAGGCCCTTCCTCAGGGAGGGAGGCTAAGTGGCCCCAGGCATTCTCAGAGACCCAGCAGGACCCTATTCATCAGGGGAAAGTGGGGGGTGGGGGTGGGCAGCAGAAAGTGATATACCAGCGAGGCACAGCTGTCTCCCCCTTGGCCCAGCAGAAATACTTGTAAGGTCTCACAGGACTTTCATTTTACAAACAAGTTAACTGAATCCCAGGAAGGGAAGAGACTTGCCCCAAGTCCTGTGGGTCAAAAGAAGCCAGAAAGGGGTCCCCAGCTGCCACAACAGCCCATGTGGTTCTCTTCCTCATCCTCTGGCTAAGAGCTTACTGCCAAGTGGCTTTGGAAGTCCCTCCGTGCTCCACCTAAGGGCTGGGACTTCAATGCACCTTAAACACCACCTTGGTCCCATTTTACGCGGGAGAAAATTCAGACCCCAGAAGGAAAAGAAACTTGCTCATGGTAGGAGAAGAGAAGAGAATGGAGGTGGGGGCAGGGAGAGACAGAGACTGGGAGAGATAAAGAGGAGGGAGAGTGATACACAGAGGGAGAGAGATTAAGAAACTGGGAGAGACACATAGAACTAGAGAGCAAGAGAGACAGCTCCTGGAGGAGACAGAGAAAGAGAGGAGGGAGAGAGAGAGTGGGAGAGACAGAGACTAGAAGAGAGAAAGGAGAGAGAGACACAGAAAGGGGGAGAGAGACAGAAAGAGAGAGAAAGAGAGAGAGAGAGAAAATCTCTCAGAGGGTCCAGCAGCATTAGCCCACTACCACTAGCACCCCAAAAAGGAGTGGGTAAAGACAGATAGAGCCTGGAATCTGCCATCCCAGAGGGGAACAATGCTAGAATCTGACTCTTTTCCAGAACAGCCAGGGCAGGCAAGAAAGGAAGAGGGAGGGAGAGACAGATAGACAGTAACAGCATGCAGTGACCAAGACAGAGAGAAACAGAAAAAGTAGAGTGTTCTTGGGAGGTATCTCCACAGGAAGTAAGACCAGAGGCTCAAAGAAACCCTTGGCACCAGGCAATGGGGAGACAGAGGCAGAGATCAAGAAAAGCAGAGAGATAGAGGCATAGACATAGATAAGAGGAGGCAGAAAGACAGAGATAGGCAGACAAAGAAATGGAGACAGAAGGAGGAAAAGAGAAAGAGATGGAGAGACTGAGACAAAGAGAAGTGGACAGACAGGGACAGAAAGAGGCAGAAAAACAGAGGAGTCAGAGAAACAAGTCGGCAGATAAAGAAACGGGGACAAGAAGAGACAGAGAGAGACAGGGTGAGAGAGCCAGAGATGGGCAGAAAAAAGAGACAGGGACAGGAGAAGGAGGCACAGAGACCATGGAGTAGGGACACAAAGAGCAGGAGAGGGAGACAGTGATAGGTAGCGATAGATACAGACAGGCAGAGACAAGGGGAGAGGGAAAGCCCCTCCCTAGGCAGGGAACAGGACTAGCCGAGGTCCGGCCGCCTAGCCTCCTCCTGGGTGTGTTCCCTCCGGCAAGGCGGGAGCCTCCCCCCCTTACCCCATTCTTGCATTTCTATACCAGCTCCACAGGGAGCCAGGCAGGCAGACAAGAAGGTGCCTCGGCCGCAAAGTTTCTCCGAGGGGTTTTCTATTCATAGGATCACCGGCTTAATGCTGAGGCCAGTAGCCCCAAGTCCGGCCCCTCATTTTTGAGAGAAAGAATTGGAAGAAGCCCAGAGAAGGGCAAAGACTTGCCCAGTCACACCGTTAATAAATGACAGAGCTGGGCCCTCCATCTGCTAACTCTCCATGCTAGCCTCTGCTTCTGTTCATTCTGACTTGAAGGTCTCAAAACAACCCCAGACTGCCCCAGACTCTTCCGGCACTGGGAAGGCTCCCCTTTCACTCAAATTCACTTCACGAGCAGAGGCTAAATGCCTCAAGTTAAGCCATCCTTCCACACCAAGCCATCAAACCAAGTTTTCCTCTGGCTAACTTTCACCTCGCTGAGGGTGCAGCAGCTCTGGAAGGGTGGGAGCCTGCAGGGTTCTGTGTGGGGCATCCCCCACACCTACAGTCTCCTCTCTTCCAAGGGCTGTAGCCCAGAACACTGGCAAACTGATTGTACACATCTAAATACAATTTGCATGTCATTTACAAAATCACATACCTTGTCAGCAGAGTCCTTGAGCCAGTTCCAAGATGATAGATGGATGGGAAAGGTTACCTACCTGAAGTCCATCCACCCTTCAGATCACAGAGAGAGACCGTCCCCAGCAGTGGGTGGTCTCACCCAGCCAAAAGCAGGGATGTATCTCTGTGTGTGTATCCTGTTTTTGACTAAAAGTGGAAGCCCCCAAGAAAAAGACTGCTCTTTCTCCTCCTGCCCCCTACACTATGGCTAAGACAGGGCTTGGCAAACAACAGGCACTCACTCACTAGAAAGCCTAGCTGAGGGGGCATGAAGCAGCCTTTATCTCAGGGAAGACTGGGTCTTTTCCACCTATATCCAGAAATGAGCCTACGCTAATGCAATGTACCTTGAACTGGGAAACCCTGGGCTGAGTACATGCCCACCCAATTCATCTCACTTTCTCCAGCCTAGCCCAGCTCCAGGGCACTCCATCAGCCTGACCTTGACACCCCCACCCCACCCCTGAGAACCACTTACTGAAATAGAAGCCGCGGTCGCCACACACAAACTGGAGAGTGTCTACCAGCTCCCCACCACAAAGGGTCTCACTGGGGCGGTAAGCAGCGTTGCAGCACGAGGCAAAGGCCAAAAAGGTGAGTGATAACAGCAACATCTTCTTCATTGGGAAACCCATCTGTGGAGAAACCCCAGCCCAAGATTAGTTCACTTACACAAGCAAGACCGTGGTGGTAGGTGTCCACCCTGGATCCCAAGTTGGGCTGGGAGAAAAGGGCATTTGTCTCCATCCTTGAAACTGTTTCCTAAAAGAGAGGACTGGGGTGAAAGAACATAATAGCTGCTTTTGGGAAGAGCTGTAGGGGGAAGAGAGAATAAACTTGTCTCTTTGGCCCCAGGGGAGAGAGGGGGGACAGGGTGCGATGGCTGGAAGAGGCAAAAAAGATAAATTAGGCTTGATGTCAGAAAAAATTCCCTTCATCAGAGCTGCCTCAAAATAGAGCGGGCTGCTTCAGGAGGTAAGCGGCTACCCATTGCTAGAGACATTCAAGTGGAGGCTAGATGCCCACTTGTCGGGTGAGGCTGCTCTGGTAGGGGCTTGAAGGGAAGATTGTCTCCGAGGTCCCTTCCAGCTTGGAAAGTCAGTGGAGGAGTCTGCCTCAAGCTCTCCCTTCTCAGCACTCAGAGCCTCTTAGCTTCGGATGTGAGGCTTGCTTCCCCAGATATACCATGAGCTCTTCGAAGGAAATGAGGCTGTCTTCTGTCTCTCCACCAGTGCCCAGCAGAAGGCTTGGAGGGTGACTGCTCCACTCTCAGTGATCTCCGCAACTGAGAGCTGATCTGTGCTCACACATTTATGTAGCCCCCAGCCCCCAAAGCCCAACCCAGCCCATAACCACGCCCCTGCTTGTCCCTCCCTAGTCTCCTCCTACTCCTAGCTCCGCCCTCCAGCTCAGCCAATGATATCAGGGTCCCTAAGAGGCGCCCTGGAACAATTCCCAGATGATATCACCATTACCTGGGTCCTCAAGGATTTGCCAGAGTGGCACCTCCCCCTTCAGCCCTAGCCCAGAGACCCAAGGCTTCAGGGATCCAAAATCAGTGTAACCCTGCCTCATCTGGGTCTGTGCTGCCTAATGGACCCTAACTAACCATTTGGACATGCGGGGCTCAGCCTATAGGGGGCCTTTCCCTATCCTGCCTGATTCCTGGGCAAAAAGCCCCCTCCTACCCAGAGATAGCACACAGATTTCATGAACTCCTCCAGACGTTGGGCCATCTACAGGGATACTCCAAGATTAATGTGGCTACCCCATCCTCCCCCAATACTTGGTCTAGCTGTTCTGTACCTCAGTTTCCCTATGCCAATGAGCAGCACCTATGAGGGAGCTGAGAGAGTATTTTATAAAGTTAGCAGGTGGCAGATCTGGGCTTCAAACCCAGGTTTCCCAGCTCAGTCCCAAACACTCTTACAGCCCACATTTTCTGGGTGGGGAAATGTCAGGCAGCCCACTCCCAGAGAAGTCCCTAAAAGGCAACCAGGCAGAAAGTCCTGAGGATCAGGACTTAACAAAGGGAATGGTCTGGTCTAAAGAAAACTTCAGGACCCTTGTTCATCATGGGAACACAGTGACCAGCTCCCTCTCAAGGTTATCATGTCTGTGCCCAAGACTTCCTTCCTTGCACCGCCTCCCAAGCCTCTTCTATGGACTCTCAGAAGGAGCCAACATTCTTTCTAAGGGATCTGGGGCAATGTGGTCTGTCTAGTGGGAGGAACACTGATATTTGAGTCCAAAGACACTGAATAATAGCTCTTCCACTTGAGTTATATGACCTTGAGCCTTTCACATCCCTTTTTTGAACCTCGGTTTCCTATTATGTCAAATGGGGGCAATAATTCTTATATTATCTACCTCCCAGGATAGGTGTGAGGACATTGTACATACAGTAAATAGCAGAGAAGGAAGGGAGGGGGGAGAAGGTCCTTATCATTGAGCTCCTGACCCCCCCCACACACACACAGAGTGATATCTGCTTACTCCTGTCCTGTCTGGCCTCCCTGCTTACCCTGGGTCCTTCCTTCCCTCTATAAGTCTCTTTCAGCCCTTCCTTGAGCTCTCCTCAATGGGAAGACCTGCCTTCAATTCCCAGGCACCTTAGGTGAGTGGGCAGTGCTAGGCACCTCAGAGAACAGACGCCGGTGCAAGACTTGGTCTCCAGCCTAGAAGGGTTGGATTCATTAAGGGAAGGAGGGTGAAAACTGCAAGGCAAACAGAAGCCTGCCCAAGTTTTCTGAAGACAGTTGGCCAGTTCCCGGGAAGGATTGGGCAAGTCAGTTTGAGTAACCTCACTTAACTCCTCCCTGCTTTGTTGCTCCCCATCCCTCCCTCCCTGGCTTCTGAAATTCCTCAGGCAGACCCACCAGAAACAGCTTAGCTAGAGCTAAGTTGCTGGTAAGTCAGAGGTGGTGGCCTCTGAGGACCCTGACCAGGGACATTCCCTGCACCCTGGGAAGGAAGAAGAGGTGACTGACAGCCTTGGTACAGAGTGTCCAAAGATGAAGACAGTCCCAATTATGGAGAAGCCTGCCACCCCCCAATGCTGACCACTGCTGGGTAGAAGAGTCATGACACCAGCGGGTAGGGAGGGAGCTAGAGAAGGAGGATGAAGAGGGAATGGGGGAGGCACCGAATCCATCCTCCGTAATGAGGGAGGTGGGAGAGACAATTCTCTGGTTTCCTTTCCTCTACCTGGACTTATTATAAGCAGAAAGCACTTTATAAATGTTTGCAGAATTCACACTGATTCAATTGAATTCAAATATATTGCATTGCGTTGGACTGCATTGCATAAAGAAAGAGGGGGGAGAGTGGAGAAGGAAGGGGAGATGAGGGAAGGGGGGGTGGGGAAGAAAAAGGAGGGGGAAGAAAGGGAGAAAGGGGGAGGAGGGAGGAGGGGCTGGAGGGGGGAGGGGGGAGGAGGGGCTGGAGGGGGTGGAGAGAGGAGGGATTGGAGGAGGGAAAATGTCCCCTTAAGTGCCCCCACCCTTCTGAACTGGTTTCACCTGTGCCTGGGAGGAGGCTGGAGATTGTCCCAAAGAGCCTCACGCTGCTTTACTGATTCCCTCCTCCTTATCGCGGCACCCCCCCCAATTTTAGCAAATGTCACCCCACCCTCCTCCCTATATGCTCTATTTCAATGAGGGACAGCCCCCTCCCACCATTCCCAGCCCCCTCCTCACATCAGCCACTGACAGTCCCCCCTCCCCCGTGATCTGGGAGTGGGCCAAGAAAGTGAAAGGGAGCTTATTTTGCTATAACGGGCTTCTGAACAGCAAGGTGCCCCTACTGAGGGAAGTTTCAGGTAGATTCCTTCCTTCCCTTCCCACTGGCTCCATTTCTTCTCCTTTCTTTCTCTCCCTATAGCCCCCCCCCACGTGGTTCTCTAATCCCCTCTCTTTCTATTTCTGTCCCACTCTATAGCTTCTTTTCCTCTTCTTTTTTTATCTATATCCTCGCCTCTCCTCTGCTCCCCCTTTCTCCCTTCCCTCTCCTCTGCCCCGCCTTTCTCTATGCCTCCCCCTCTTTCAGGGCTAAGCACGAATGCCTCAGGTCGAGAGGGAAGCTTTGAGAAGTTTCCCCTACCTTTCAGTCCTGGCTCCTCCCTCCTTGCACTAGAAGCCCAAGAACTAGAGTTTGGGTGCCTCCTCTCCTCCAACCCCCCCAGGCCCTGACCACGCCCCTTAACTTTCTGGCAGACCCCAGAGCCCCCAAGCCTCCCCAAGTTTTTCGGGGGGAGGAATTCATACAAACTGAATGTTCAGTACCACCAAAGTCGAGCTTGGCCCCACCTTGCCCCTCCCCGCTAAGGGGGAGGTTCATACCAGCCCCGAGCCCCACCCAGAAAGAACTTGTGCAAACTGGGGTCGCCTCATGAACTGAGCGCCCCCCCCCGCCATGATCTTACTCATATTCTTCAAGAGCTCCGCCCCACCCCCTACCGCCCAGGGTGCAAACAACATCTCTGGGTTGGAGCCAGCAAGACTTAGAGAGATTGGGGGGGGGGGCTTGCTGCTCATGTGGGGGGGCCCCTATGGGCCAGACTGGGTCGCCCTTTGGGCGTCCCCTTGCGGACACGCCTGGCATCGCACTACAGCCCCAAGAGACACGTTTGAGGGGGAACTGTTTACCCGCAACACGGAGCTTCCCCGCTCCCTCGCTGCCTTTGGGGAGCCTCCCCGCAGTTCCTTTATGCAGTCTGGGACTTTCTCCCCCTCCCGAGTGCGCCCCAAATTTCCAAGAGCCTGGGAGAGAGAGCAAGAAGGATCCAGAGCTTCAGGGACGCAAAGAGAGAGGGCGGAGAGCCCCTGGGCGTGCATGCACTCTCTCAAAGGGGAAGAGAGTTCCCCCAGCCGCCCCGTCTGTCCTGTACTGTCCTACGGAGACCTCCGCGCACTGCGGGTAGTCCCCGGGCCGCACCAGTCCCATGGCGGGGAGGGGACGGGGGCCAGACAGGCGGACTGAGGGGCCGGTAAGCGGGCTGACGGGCCACTGGGCCGGCCAGCCTGCCGTCCGGGGGACTTACCTCAAAGCTGCTACTGCTACTCCCCACCTCCTTGCTGCGGGACTGTTGTAGGGTGCTGACACTCGCGTCCGCCGACCCTGAAGCGACTCCTCTTGCCATGTTCCCTCGCTGACGAAATCTCATCATTGGTCTAATTTTGGATTCGGGTCAGGCTGGTTCTGGCTTTTTATATTGGGGGCGTAGTTAGGTTTTTTTTTGTCTTTTTTTTTTATTCGAGTGGACGGGCTTTGGGGCGGGGCGGGTTGACTGGTTGTTTTTGGATGAGTTTGGGGAGATAGTGAAGAGGGTTTTGAAGAAAAGTGGACAGAAGTAGCAGAAGACAGTCAGTCAGAAGGACAGTGCACAGGCGACAGAGAGTGAGCGAGAGCGGCGTGCGTGCGAGCGAGCGAAGCCAGAGGGGGCAGAGGGCTGAGAGAAAAGGAGATAGACAGAGAGGGCGAGGGCCGAGGGTGCGGGCAGACAGGGGCGGGACGATCCTGGCGGGGAGGACCGGGGGGGGCACTTAGGAAGGAGAAGAGGGTGAAAGGGCCAAAGGTGCAAGGGGTGGGGAAGGGAAGACTGAGCGATTTAAGCTAAGGGCGAGGGAAGGGAACCAAATTGCCTCCCACGTAGGAGGGACGCCTTATACTAGGCTCCCAGAGTGCCTGAATCCTCCGCCTTCGGAGTCAGGCTAAAAAGAGAATGGGCCGCAATTTGGGGGATCCTGTGGGGCGGACCGAGGACGGGGAAGGAGATGAGACCTCTGGAGGCGGAACCTGCCTTGTCCCTTTAAGGGAGGTGGAATGGGATGAAAGCTGAGGTAGTTAAGGAAAAGGCAGTTTGGCGTTCCGCACAGAGGCCCCAATTAGCAGCAAAAAAAAAAAAAAAGGAGGGGGAAGGGGAGGGGGAGGGGGAGGGGAAGGACGTTGATTGACGGAGGGGCGCCGGGCGCCTGCAGGATGGAAAGTGAGGCGGGGGCAGCGCCCACGTCGTCGGATGGGATGGAAAGGCGGCGGCGACGCGAAGATGGTGAGTCGACGCTGCGAATCCCCGACTACCTGCTCCGTCTAGGAGGAGACAGACAGATCCGTCCTTCTGCCGTGCTTTTATAACGGTTTGGGAGAACCCGCTCGGATCGCTGGATGTCACTACTGGCGGCAGGCCCGACCCAATGGCCTGGAAGAGGGTTATCTCGCTCCGCCCCCCAGCTCCGCCCCGAAAACCAAGCCAGGCGGGGGGGTGAGGGTGGGGGGAGAATGGGCAAGGGGAGGTGGCCCCCAGAGCTGGGGGGGGTGCAAAAAAGCGGGGATAGGAATTTTGTAAAGAAAGCCAAGAAATAAAACAATGCAAAAATGAAAGAAATAAAGAATGGGAACGAAATGGGGGAAAGAAAACAGGGAGAGAAGAAGAAAAAGAGAAAAGGCGAGGAGAAAGACAGGAAAAGAGTGAAAGAAAGAAAGAATTGGAAAAGAAAAAGAAAGACCGAGAAAAGAAGGAAGGGAGAAAGGAAGAAAAGAAGGGAGGGAGGAAGGAAGGAAGGAAAAAAGAGGGAGGGAGGGAAAAAACTGAAAACGGAAATTTAAAAAGGGGAAGGTAGGTTAGAAAAGTGGGAAATAAGGAGGGAATGGAAGAGAGAAGGTAAAGAGAATAAGAAAAAAGCGACAGAAAAGAAGGGAAGGAAGGAAACTGAAAAAAAGGGAAGTTAAAGAGTAGAGAAGGGAAAGAAGGAAGGGGAGAGTAGAGAAGAAAACGAGAGAAAAGAGGGGGAAAAAAGAAAATTTCAATAGTTTTTCCGTGGCGCATTTGGAAATGGTTGTCTGGTCTTTCTTTCTTTCTTTCTTTCTTTCTTTCTTTCTTCTTTCTTTCTTTCTCTCTCCTTTCTCTTTTTTCTTTCTGTCTTCTTTTTTCTTTCTTCTTTCCTCTTCCTTCCTCTTCCTTTCCATCTTTCCTTCCTTCCTTCCTTCCTTCCTTCCTTCCTTCCTTCCTTCCTTCTCTCTTTCTTTCCTACCTTTTCTTTTTCTCTTCCTTGGAGAAAGATGGAGCAAAGACAGCTGGCGGGGAAAGGTCGCAGATCTTCTCAGGTAGTGGCGTTGGCTGGTAGACTGGCAGTTGTCTACTCCTCTTCGAGGGCTGAAGGCAATCAGCCATGAAGCTTCCTTCATGAGCTGACAGCCTTCGAACTGGCTGGTCTGTCCCTAGGTCCCCACACTTGGGAGTCAGTGTTTTCTCCTGGCTCCCTCTGCTTAGCGTTTGGGGAAGGGATGCGCCTTCTCCCCGCAAGCGAACGCGTGGATTTATATTTTAGCCCCAGACTCGCCCTCCCAATCCCGCGCCCTCCCGGGTTCGGCGGCAAAATCACCCTCTCGCCCTGGGTCCATTGTTTTTCTCCGAAAGTGAAGGCAACATAACGTAGAAGGTGCTAGAGTAATTACTGAGCGCTCCCTTCCCTCTATGTGCCACCTGTCCTTACCGCTGCTCGGTCCCTGCACCCATTTCCGCCCGAATAATCCAGGTCGAGGCTGGGGCGCAGGGAAGCAACCAGTACTCCAAAGAGCGAACTTCTCACACCTCCAGAGTACGGCCGGGCCGAATACAAAGCAGCCCTGAGTCCGGCCGGGCTCCAACCGCAGGCGTCTGGTCCCCAACTCGGTCCAGCCAGCCCTCCTTCGTCCCAGAGTGCCGAAGGGTTATCGCGCGCATTAGGGTCAGTGGCCGTGCCCGAGCTAGCAAAACCCTCCGCCCTTCCCTTCTCTGCTTGAATGTTTGTGAACGTGCGCGTGTCTAGGCACAGTCCCAGGCGTTCGTTAATCTCGCAATCAAGCCTCCCATCTTCCCCCGTTTGCCGGCGTAGATGTGGGCTCGGCACCCCAAGCTAGCAAAGCGAGGTGTGTGTATGTGGCGGCAAGGTGGTCTAGGAGCGCGAAGCCGGGGAGCTGGGCAGCGCGCACAGAGCGCAGACCAGAGTCCTCTTGGTAATTGGTCTCGCGGCAGCGAAGGGAACGTAGGGCTCAGCTCTCTGTTTTCTGCGGCCTCCGGTAATTCTGAGGACCCAAGCCCCGAGTTCCCTGGACTGCTCTCGAGGGGCTCGAAAGTTCCCCAGACTCTGGGCGCAGCAGCTACCAGCTTCGGCTTATGTTTTCGGAAGAGAAAAGGAGGACGCACTGAGATTCCCCCCCCCCCAACCAATTTTCCCAACCCCGAAGGGGAGAACAGAGAAAGAGGCAGCCCGGGGCCCATAGAAAGAAGTTAGAGTAGTGGCCCCGAAACCGCTGCAGCCGCCGCGCGGACAGTCAACCAGCAGTCCACCGGCCGGGTGGGCAGGGCTCAGCGGGCGAGCCGAGAAGGCAAGCTGAGAGGGAGGCTGCGCCAGCTGGAGCCTGTAGGGGAACCGGTCCGAAATGGTCGCGGGGGCCCCCAAGCTCTGCCGACGATCAAATAAAGCTGCCTGCTCTCCTGAGTCCCCAACGCCAGGAGCACCCCTAGCTAATTCCCTTCCTACCAAAGACACAAAAGAAAGTCCCAGGAGGGGAGAGGGCAAGCTGTCTGGGCGCAGGGTACTGCCTTCCAGCAAACAAGGGGCCACCAGAAATGGTGGGGGTCCCTGCGAGTTAGAGGGCCCCCGCTAACCCACAACCCAGGAAAAAGCATACCCCAGATTTTGCGAAGGTTGCGGCGCTGTGCTGTCCTAGCGAGGCTGGGAACGTTTAATTGCTCCTTCGTTATCCTCCTCCGTGGCAAATAAACAGCGAAGTGTGTGTGTGTGTGTGTGTGTGTGTGTGTGTGTGTGTGTGTGTGTTTGCGTGCGTGCGTGTGTGTGTGTGAATTGTAGGGAGGCGGCGCGGGGACAGAGAACGGGGACAAGGGACAAGAGAGCCGCGAGGCGTGTGCTGGGGAGCAGGGCTGCGGGCTTGGGAAGGAGACAATACGCGGCTCCTCAAAGCCGGCGCCTTCCATACGGAAAACCAGTCAATCCCTGGGTGCTCAATGAACCCGGGGGGAGGGCAAGGGGACGGCTTGGGAGGCCAAGGACTCCCAGACTGCAGGCACCTCAAGCGGCCGGGGTCACTCTGTCTTGACCTTTAGAGAGAGAAGCGAGGCTGGAGGCGAGTCCAGATTTATCCCTGCAGAAAATACAAGATCTGGGGAGAGAAGCGCGCGCGGGGTGGACCAGGGGTGGCAGTGGGCAGGGGTACCTCAGGGCGCCTTCTTTCTCCTCCGCAAAAAGAACCTTTCTGAGGAAATAAAACCTGGAATGGCAGCGGGGCAAAGTTCGGCCTCTGCTTTAAAGGCAAATATTCAACCAGGCACAGTTAGTCCTTGGGACTCCAATCGAAAGAAAGGGACAAAGTTACCTTTCCAGTATTGTGTAACTGACCCGGGAGAGGGGTGGCTTCTCCCTGGGGAGGCAGGGACGGTGCAGGGACAGAGGGGCTGGCGGAGGGACCAGGCGGCCGGAACGCGGCGGCGGCGGCGGCGGCGGCGGCGGCAGCAGGGCAGATGCAGGGAAGGAGGGAGGGCGAGAAGGAGCGAAAGCGGCAGCTCTCCCGGGCGCCTAGGAGCTTTCCTTTTGCTGACAACAAACCTGAGTTCGTGTCTAAAAGTGCCTCTCGAACAGCTGGGATTGGGGCAGGGGATGGAAATGAGTTTGACGAAGCTAGTGGGAATGAGTCTGCTAGATGGGATGGAAATGGGTTTGGGGATGGCGCTCTGGAGAAGGGTGGAGTTGGGGTCCCACTTGGCTAGATGGGATGAAGATAAGTATGTCTTGGTTATAGCCGTGAGACGAAGGCCCAAAATATTAGGGTCACTGAGCTCATTTAGAAAAAGGGGGCCTTCTTGGGCGCTTGTGGTCCGGTAGGGCTTAAGCCACATTTCCCAGGTGTGGACATTGAGGCAAGGGCCCTGGGGACTCTATTGTTTCTGTAGCATCTGCTTGGCTTCGGAAGGTGGCTCCCCCATAAAAGACAGCTCATTTTTCCACCCAGGAGAGCCCAAGACAGAGTAAGAATGTTCCCCCTTTTTGGATCTCGGTTCCGAATTCAATCAAGCTAGTGTCCCACGCCAAGAATATCTGGCTTCACCCCCTCCAGATGACTGCCTCTGCTTCACACACCCCCACTCACCCCCCCATTATGCATTTTTTTCTACATCCCCATTTCTGCCTCGCACAGGGCTAGAGGGCCATCTATCTCCAGTGACCTGTGCACTTTTGCAGCTAGGCATACAGAATCCCGTGTCTGCAGGTTTCCAACCTAGCCGTGTCCCCACTGTTGAGACCCTGTGGAAACCTATACCCCAAGTGTCCCAAGCACAGCTAGGTTCTGGTGAGTGCAGAGCCAATGTCTGCCAGCAGACGGATTTACTACCTTTCCCAGGGGAACTGCACTCCCTCAGGGGGGAGGTTATGCCTTCTCCAGCTTTTCCTGGGTCTCCCACAGGACCCTGCCTAGAAAGGCCTCATTGCAACTACCTGGTGTCCTGCCAATATCTGGCCCAGACTCACCCTTTCATTTCTTACCTGCAAGGCATCTCTGATCAATCTATGCCCGAGGCACCTGGGCCTGTCACCTGTACTGCACCTCTCCCCTTCCAACTTTGCCTTTCCCCTACTAAGGAGGGCATGGTGAGGGACCCCAATGAGGCCAGGGCACATTCCCCAGCCTCTTCCACTATCCGAGGACTCCTTACCAAGGCAAACTTTCTTTTTTTAAACTCCAGCTGCCGCTTTGGCTCAGGCTTGACTTCCTGTAGCTGAGAGCTAAAAGCAATGTCCAGCCTCCTCATTTTTAGCAACCAAAGCCTGAAATGCTGATACCCTTCAGCAAAGCAAAGAATCCCAGAGCACTTGGCAAGATAGGATTGAGTGATCCTTGGTCTAAAAGAAAGTTCTACAACAGTACGCCCCCACTGCACCCCACAAAATTCGGGCCATTCTGCCCTCTGCTGGGACTTTTAGGGCACACACAAGAGCAATGGCATTTCCACAACCCTCAGTCTACTTTTACCCCGTCTGCAGGGCCTTCCCGGACCGGACCCAAAGTAAATGAAGCTCAGCCTGAATTCCCCTCCTCAGAAGCAGCCTCCAGCTACCCTCCCCTTGTGC